CAAGTCTAATAGTTTCTGAGCATGAGGATATTGGTGTGGACATATCCATCCCTAGCAGCAGATCCGTAACCTTGCGAAGTTTGCAATCGGTTTATGATGATGAAAGTCCACAATTTAGAAGGCGACGAGTAAGATTTCAGCTACCTGACAGTCCTGGTATGGATCCTGATGTTAGGGAAGAACTTTTGGATTTAGTTCAAGCCAAGGAGGCTGGGGTTGCATACATAATGGGACACTCGTATGTGAAGGCAAGGAAATCATCCTCATTCTTGAAAAAGCTCGTGATTGATATTGGCTACTCATTTCTGCGGAAGAATTGCAGGGGTCCTGCTGTAGCTCTTAACATTCCTCACATCAGTCTTATCGAAGTTGGAATGATATATTATGTGTAGCTCTTCTTCATGAAACTTACAAACTTGATCCCGGTTGCATGCATAGGTTGTTCTACACTCCTGGGTGTAGGTAATTAATTGTAGCCCCACAAATGGGAAAATGAGTGTCGAGCGTCTTTTGGGCTACGTGTTTATCTTTGCTTTCGCATCTCTCCCAATGTGTAAGTATTAAGTGATTACATAGTTGCAATAAGGTATTAGAATTTTGTTTAGGTATCAGTATTTCCCTTGCTTCCGCGTCCACCTTTTTCGTCTTTTGTGCTTACGCAAAGTGCGTGTTTGGTGTTTGGTGCACACGCAAATTTTGTTAGAAGATTATGCATGCACTTGCACCAACGTTACCTACCTAGATATTTGGATAAGGCGGATCGGATGAAGATTTTGTATAGGCCTAAATGCTCTTTAAACGTATGGTTTTCAATTTACCTCAGTTGCCTTTTCGTCGTATTAGTATAGGTTCTATGGCAAGTTGGCAACCCCCCTAATCCATGTAGAAGTGTGAAAATGGGCCTAAGCTTGTCGTTGACATACTGATTCGATTAGCCCAACAAATTACTGGATCATGTTGTGAAAATTTGAGTCTGGGGTCATTTTGGTCCATCCAGACCTGAATTTTTGCTTGCCTGAAGTAGATTGGTCCATGATAGGTTGGCCCGACCTGAGGGCCAAAATTTACTTTTATTAATTTTTTATAATTGGTAAAATATAAAATTATATATTTAATACTATATATATTGTTAATGTCCATTATAAATTTAATGTTCTGTATATTGAGTTTTACTTTTAATTTATAACACTTATTTATTGTTATAATTGATGCACATTATTTTATGAGAAAATAGAAGCAGTATAAAGTTTTTTCAAACATTTATATATAGTAGATTTCTTAATTTTGATAATAATTATAATTATTTTAAAAGTTATACTAAGTATGATCTCTTATTTGTTAATGATGTAATCACTTTTACATTAATAATGTATACTTATCAAACTCTTATTTTATTTCTATATGTATCATATTTTGCTATTTTATATTATGATAAAAAAATTTATTTTATTTTAGTTTAAAAAGCCTTTTAATAACTTTTAATTTTTATATTTTAAAATAATTGGCCCATGGACCAACTTGCTTCACCAATGGCCTACTAAAGGCAAAGTTGAGTTAGGAAAATTTCAACTCAACATAAAATTGGCTTGGACCAACCTAAAAAATGTGTTAGTCTAAGAGCAACTATGAATATAAGTTGGAAGTGCTTTTGAGACTTATTTTTTATACTAAAAATATATAGTATTTTAGTAAAAAAAAGTATTCCCAAACGTCCTTAAACTTGTATCCTAATAGTTTGTAAGATATGCTAGCTTGAATATAAGTAATATTTTTTACTTTTTTATTTTTTTGGAATCTAACGTTGAAAATGTTACTATTTGTGTTTGGTTTGTTATTTAAAAAATAATATTTTCAAGAAACATTGTTTTTTGGAAATAATTTTTGTATAGGTTTTTAATGAAATTATTCTATTACGGGTGATGGAAAAACTATTTTTTCCAGGTAAAAATAAAACTTTGATGTACATCATGTGACTTTTATTTTCTTATTTAATACTATAAAAACCTTTAGTTCCTAAGTAATATTTATAAACATTTTGAAAAATAGTTAATGATCAGTCAAACAAATTTTCATCATCTCTCATAATCATGATTTCCATGAATCATAATTTCTAAGCATAAAAAAAAATTGTTCTATACCAAACTTTTTGTAAGGTCATGTAGTTTCAAAAATTAATTGCCTAAATATATTTTAAATCACATTCCATTTTATTATTTAATGTATATTTTCTTTAATAATTTAGGTTCATGTAGTTAAAAGTTTAATTGCCAAAAATCTTCATCCAAATTCAAGTAATTTATTATTATTATTATTATTATTGATATTTTAGCATGTGTATTTCATAGATTAAATATTTATTATATATAACTAAAGTTTATAATAATTATATATGTAAATAAATATTATATTTAAATATATAAATTATATTTAAAATTTATATAAATAGATATTATTAAATATATAAATTATATAGCTGTTATATATGAAATATAAAGGACTATCTTACAAAATAATATTTTTAGAGACTTTTGTTCGACAAGAGGATTTTTATGTTTTCTTTTTAATTTCATGTCTAATTCAATTTTTATTTATAATAATTATTTATGAATTAAATTTTAATATTTTTAAAATAAATCAACAATGAATAAAAGTAATCATGTGTTACAATATAAATTATATATTATAAATATAAAATATAATGTATATATTTAAGGGTAAATGTTTCATTCATTTCTCCTTTTATAATATATACATTTTTATAATAGATACTATCTTACTCTATTTTTTTTTTAAAAAAGTATTAAATGCACTTTTAATTTATTTCCTTCTTAAAGAAATTTTATTTTAAAACATTGTCTTCCTTTTTTTTATACCATAAAAAAAATATTTTCTTCATTCACTCCTTTTCTTCCGCTGATTTTCTTTCACTATTGTATCCTTTTCTCACCATCCTTCTCCATTTCTCTCTTCTTCTTCTTCTTCTTTTTTTTTACTTTTTTTCTTTTTATAAAAAAAAAATTTAACATGATTCCATTAAAATTACTACATACATGACGGTATGTAGTAATAGTCTTTGAGACCAGGAGTATAATTTGTCGTCCTAACTAAATTGTGGACCACATCTATGAATGAAGCTAATATCATAGGTTGGTAAACTAAGGACAATAAATCTACAATTATAAATGATATCTCCATATTCAGTCAAATCAACTTGAGGCTTTATCATATTGTTCACAACACATTGACAGTTAGTTTCGAACATGATGTTCTCAAGTCCAAGCTCCTTGATCCAGTTCACTACTTCCTTCAGTGCAATCACTTTGCACTAAGTGGGGTTCGATCACGAACTACAACAATTTTATTCTTGCCATGATGAACGACCATTCATGGTCTCAATTCTCAAATATATATGCCAGCTCCGAAAGAACCCTTGGTTTTAAACAGGCTTGCATCTACGTTGCATTTTAAGGATCATTCATAGGGGTCTACCACTGATCTTGTCGTGTTACTGATACAATAGCAAGGTGGTTTTCCTTTTATTGTTGCGCCTAAGACCAATATGCAATATACCTCATATATTTATTCCTTCCCACAACTTTATATTCTTGACCACATACATACTCCACAGTAGCTCATTTACTATATATATATATATATATATATAT